TGCTCCTGCTCTCTGAAGATGCCGGTCACAGATGTTGGCGAAACGTTAGGAAACAAAACTTGCAGAACACGGCCACACAGCCTAGAAGACCCACACCAGCCATCGATTTAATTTGAGCTTGTTTTGTCCCATCCAACCCCTTACAGCCTCCAGACACTGAGTCAGTACTTCTACAGCTTGCCTAGGCCACACCGAAGTTGTGTTGTATAGTTAACCATCATCATCATGCTGATATCTCATCCCACTTCTAGCAGTTTCAAGAAGATGCTGAATAACATGTTGGATTTGATTGGAGATCTGCTTGCATAGGAGGATTTTTCTCCCCCTTTCTCTTACAGTCCTACTGGAATGTGCAAAAACCTAAGTGGTTGGGGGAAGGAACTCTCCAGAGGAAATTTTGAGAGCAAAGATGAGTTGCATAGGATAGGTTATTATTGCCCTTGTCCAATTCTGTAAGCAAAATCAGCTGCTGATATACCACTAAATTCCACACAAAAGCTTATGTTTTTCTTTGCTTTAAACTAAGTGATATTTTGACCCTGCATTTTGCTATCTAAATAAGGCTGGTAAAGGAGTCCTGATAAACAGCTCCCACAGTGTTCCCTACAACCTATGTAACCTACAGATAGCAAGAGGGATATTCCATAGATCAAAGCTGTCTTATTTTGACACCATTACAAACAAGAAGCATGAAAACATTCATAAGATATTTATATATCTCAAGAACCTTATCTTGCAATTAAATATGATAAATTAAAACCACTGTCTGAATCTTCAAACATTTACACGCTGCAAGAATTGATACCTATTTCACTAAAGTGGATCTGTGACATTATACATATGGTATATAAGATTATGTAATCTTGTATCAGCAGCTATGCAACAAATCTGAATACATTTTAGAAAACACTTCAGATATACTGCTGATGTACCATTGATGCCTGATTTACAAAGCAATAATCAAAGATACTAAACCTAGAGTTTTAAAATGATTTTTGGCATCTTTCTTTCCCCCTTTTGTAAGCACAGTATTTTATTGTTGCTCTAATTTATTTTGAATAATGAGGATATTATATATATATGTATGTATGTATGTATGTATGTATTTTGCTTACAGTTTTTAGGACAGAATATTCATATATCACAGAAAGAATAAACATTTAAGACTGCTTTCAGCTTTATATTTTTTTATCTATTTTCTTAACATTTATGTGTATACAACCTGAAATCTATAAATACACTGAACCGTCACTTAGAAGAAACTTCTCAATAGGAAGTTGATATTCCTACTGGGAATGTAACTTCACATTCTAAAATCAGTTTTAAAAAATGGTAATATACCAATAGCAGCTATTCAGCCTACTCTAGTGCAGAGAGAAAGAGAGTGATAATTATGTAACTATATAATTCACCAAGGTGAATTACACCAAGGATATACACCATGTGTGTATCCAACACATACCAGATAAAAGGTGATATTTATAATATACTTAAAATGGGTATGTTCAATACTAGCAAATTGTAATTAGAACTAAATAAATCATAATTTATGGTTTAACATTACTGACCTTAAAATGGGCCACACTATGATATTCTCCAGAATCTGACTGGACAAAAGAGCTTTCATTTATGTACCTAGGGTATTAATTTCTGCACTTGGGCAGGAGTTTTTAGCCACAGTTCATGAAACAGAATAATCTCTGAACAGCTAAGAACTAATTTGGCTGGGGAGTCTAACTGATATGTACTACTGAAGGGTTGAAACTTAACTCAAACTGTTGTATAACAGTTATACCACTATTATCGTCAGTCTACCTAACCTTTGAAAATAAAGTAATTTCTGTTTAATTTGGCCGGGATTCAATGGAATGTGTTAAGCAACCATTTCTTCTTGGGTAAGACCTGAGTGATTGTAATTACATTGTTCAGTTACTGGCTAATTACTGATAAGGTCTGAGAAAATGCTGTTCTAAAAGTTTATTAGCCAGAGACAAAGTCATTAGAAACTTCACTATATTAAATTGATTATAATGCACAGCAATGGTCCAGTGAGTGTTCTTAAGGTCAGGTGTCCAGGAAAAGCAGAAGGAGCCCTAAACTCCTTCAGAGTCAAACCTGAATGTGAAAGTTTATACTGGACCAGAATGCAGGTATCAGAGACATTTTTTATGAACAGCATGCCTTTATTTAGCCAACTATTCATTAAAAATGACATTTCAGTTTGGTAAATGTGACTCAGAAAGCCTTGTCACTGGGTCCAGCTTCTGAAGGAAATAATCCTATCCTGGGCCTAGTTATTCACACAATATAAGTTGTCATACTAAAAGACCAAGAAAAGCCTAAGCAGAATCCCAGCTTAAGAATTCTATTTTCTTACAATACAAGCTCCACTATTTTTTTTTCCCCTGAACTAGTCGTGTAATTATATAAAAAAGGAAAGGCTTGTATTTGTGGCCCATTATATTTCTAAGAGAAGCTAATTCCCTTTTAAAGAATTAAAGCTTTGTTTGCATGAACTATTGTGCAGCTCTTTCAAAACATTAACAGAATATAGAAAAAGTTCATTGTAATGGGGAATATCTATCCGTTAAATATCTCTTAAATCCTAATCTGCATCATATGCCATCAGGTTTATGTCTTGTTTAATTATGTAAATAAGTTCACATAATGAGGAAAATTTACAGACTAGTTTGACTAAAACATGCTGTAATTTTTTTGGGGGGGGGTTGCTTGGACAGAAATTTTGCCCCTTGTTTCTGAAGTCTGCTAAACTGTGGTCTGTTAAATAGAAAGTTTACTGTATTCAGGAAAAGGTGTAGCATGATACCTGATATCAGGAGCTATTGGTGGGAATTCTTGGAGCTGTTTAGTTTGAGGTTGCTAGACCTCTGAAATGTTTGACTTTAAGCAGCACAATATCTTTGTCATGCAGAAGATCATGCAGAAGATCCTTGGTACAACATCAGGCATCTTCAGTCAGGGTTAGAAAATACTTCTCTGACTGAACTGGTCTGTGACCATAATAAAATAAACTGAATGCATCTGAACTCAGGACACCTACTATTACTGAGTATTGTGAGCCAGAAAGGCAAATGATCTGAGTTGGTAAAGGTAGTTTTCTAATTTTCTATTCCATAGGAAACATCCTATTGGAACATTACTTACTTTCACAAGAAGATGGCTAACTACTGCAATCAAGTGTATATTTGCTCCCCCATTTTCCCCTGAATAAAACTTCAGAGATTTTGGAGGCAAGCAACTATTTCTTTTTCCCTTTAGTCATATAGCTGACAGCACTACATAAATAAAGGGATAATTTATGGCTGCATAAATAGGGAAGTTTGAGGAAAGCAAATTTAAACCTCATTTTTGTTTCTGGTACCACATTTAAATTTCTTTGGATTTGTAACTGGACCTAAAATGATATAACCTCTTGTGTACTCACAAATAAAAGTCAGAGCAAGACAAAATATAAATATGCATGAAATTATTGTGACAGCCAAGAATATTAAACATAGCTTCTTTGTTTCACAGTCTTTCATATTCCAAGGCCACGTAATACGTATCGTGCACATAAGTATTTTGCCTTTTCTTACTCTGAAGTAAGGCTTAAATTCAAAGATTACAACCTGAATAATTTAACAAGGGTGGGGCTTTTTTGCGGTTATTTTTTGTTTACTTATACATACATACATTCCTCTTGGTTTGAAAAATGATGTCATGATATAATGAAAGCAGGTTATATAAAAAATTGCATCCCAGTATTGGGAGGGGCTGTTAAGGACCCAAATATTAATCTCATCTCCCCAAGAAAAGACCCCAGTATTTTGAGGTTTACAGATATTCTTAAGACTTAAAGCACCCCTTAACCTGAACTTAATTCTGGGAGTGCTGTGGTAGAAGTATTCATCCCTGGAATTAGCAATAACACTGGACTTCGTATCTCTAGTCTTCAAAATTCTATTTTATGTGTCTTGCCATAATTGGAACCAGTGCTGTTTCTCTAGCCTAAAAGTTTATGCAACCAAGGGAATTTTATGTGATTGAAATGTGTACTTTTGGAAATGAACAGTATAAACAAGAAACAAATATACTGGTGACATACTGATACAGGGTGACTAGACTTTTTTTTTTTGAGGGAGAGGGGAAGAGGCACAACATTTCTGACAGAGACTCCACCATCATCATTCCATCTGCCATAAATAAGACCCAAATTTCACTTTCTATCTTGGAGATCCAGTGGCTCATCCCTTACCCTCTAAGTGTGTTGTTTTGTTTCAGCCAGAGCAGCTTCAGTATCACAACTGGAAAGTATATGTACAGGGACAGCCTAACAAAAAGTGAGATTAAATGAGTATCTGCCTGCTATCTCCACTGTTCTGTCCTACTGTGTGCTCCCTCATGCCCACCTTTTCTGTAGTAGCAGCAGCAATGCTAGTCTGTGTATAGCTGGCCACCCTATAGATAAGGGCTTCATCAGTTCCCATGTCACAATTCATTACTCTGACCCCTATAGAGTGACCCTCATTCAACAACCAAAAAGTCAGCAAGTTGGCCTACGTTGCTCTTTGCCTTTGGGGCAGTAAAGCAACAGCTCTGATAAGGGACTTGGACACTTCACTGGCCATCCTGATTGGTCACTCACAGTAGCTGTTTGGTTTCACCTAATAGTTGGCATAGCATTGTTGTACAGTTTTCAATATAAGCATAAAGTAGAGAATGACATTTACAAATTGTAAAATTATTGAGAAAGGTAGATATTACTAAGCATTTCATTCTGGAACAACAGACATGAATTAATACTTGTAATTAAAGTGCAACACAAGTATTTCAATTCAGATTATTAGAACCTCCTGCTGTATGATTTTTTTCATTGCTGAAATAACATTAAATGATTTTTCTATTCATACTGTAATAAATTAAGATGGAAATTAGGCACACAAAACAAAACATAAGACATTTATATCTGGGCAACAGTCTAATTATATATGGTATTACATCCTACATTGGTGGTGTAAAGTTTGTGAATTCTTTTGAATTTTCAGTATTTCTGCATAAATATGAACTCTGCTTTGTTCCCCACACAAGTCCTAAAACTATATAAAGAGAACCCCATTAAACAAATTAATCAAAAACAAACCATCCCATTGATTGAAATACCTGACTCTAATTTCCCCTTCACATGATCTGTTAATCACATACTTTTTTTTTTTTAATATTTTTTTATTTTTACAACAAACACAAAACATACATGGACAAACAAAACCATAAAAAGGCATAAAAAAAAGAGC